AATTTACTTTGAGAGGAAGGGCGCATTCCGCCGCAAGGGGCGCTAGAGAGGCAGGAGGGATGGCTGGCGGCTACCTGGAAGCTCACGTTGTAGCCGAATGGCATCTGAAACTATTTCAGGGAAATGCTTCCTGAATCGCATCACAGTTTTCGCTAGGTTCCATTAGTCCGTTAATCTCTAGACATGCCAAATGCATAAAACAGGACTTGGCACAGAGAACGCGCTAAGCGCCGTCATATTAATAGTAGCTTGACGACTCTAGAGACTCCATTTCCCTAGATGTCTTGCAGCTGCTCCGACTACGACTCCCATCATGCCTGGCAGCTGCCGTACCGATGATTCCCCACGTCCCTTAATCCAGTTTACTCGCCCAGCATTCCTAGCCGTCGTGCCTAAGAACAACCAATTGGATAGGAGGATGCCAACCGAGGCGGGCCAACCTTCGGGTCGAGGGACGTGGCCACCGCAGGCCCCGCCCCCGCCCCGTGGTGGGTTCTTCCCTCCTGCTCCTGGTCTGCACTGTAGACATGGGCACCGCCTGGAGGAGCCCGGGACGCGTGCGCTTGGCGCTCTGCCTCGCTGGCCTAGCGCTCTCACTGTACGCGCTGCACGTGAAGGCGGCGCGTGCCCGCGACAAGGATTACCGCGCGCTCTGCGACGTGGGCACGGCCATCAGCTGTTCACGCGTCTTCTCCTCTCGGTGCGTGCAGAAATGGAAAGCATGGGGTCCTTGCAGGCCAGGTGTACCTGACGGCCAGGTTGCCGGATGATTTTGGAGTCTGGGATCGCAGTGTCCGCAGAACGGACACTTTGAGAGCGGACTGCCCTAGGAGTTTTGGGTGGGTAACCAGAAGTGCACAGGGGCTGGACCACTCAGAGATACTTGTGTTTGATCGCTTTCTGAGGGTGCCAGTGAATAACTGTGATTGGAAAACTGGAGGAGGCAGGGCAGAATAATACATAGAGATTGAGGATGATTTGGAATGGCGCAAAGTGGGAGGAGGTGGCTGAGCATTGCTGTGCTAGGGGCCAAAGGTGCTGGAGGACCGGATGTCAGTGGGTGGTGAGGGAACTGTAGCTTTGTGGGTCCAGAGCAGATAGACTGTGCTCCAGATTTCCCAGTGTGGTCCCCATAAAGCGCGACCAAGCTGAAAAAATTAAAAACTTTTACACTTGTGGGGTGGCATGTGCATGCCACTACTTGCATGTGGAAGTCGGAGGTGGTTCTCTTCTGCTTTGTGGATCTTGGGGATCGAACTCAGTTGACAAGCCTGGCATCTCACAAGCTCCCAAAGTTACTGATGGTCTGTGATAACAGCCCAGGATAGAGTCAGACATGCCAAAAGGTCACTGACCTTTGGATTCTTGGTGGGTGGAGAGTGTTGCTAATCACTTTTCCGGGATAAAGCCCAAGGGGCTTAGGCTGACCACACTTACCTGGGTTCTTTCACTCCCACCAGGTGGGGCCAGGGCTTTGGGCTGGTGGAGCAGGTGCTAGGAACTGACAGCATCCTCAACCAATCCAACAGCATATTTGGTTGCATGTTCTACACCATACAGCTGTTGTTAGGTGAGTGGCTTTGTCTCTCCATGGCCTGTCTGCCCTAATCCAGATCAGTCTCACTCGCCTCACTCACCCCACGTCATGGTGACCCAGACAGGTGACAGACAGGCAGCTGCTAATCACTGAGCAGCCTCATCACAAGGAGACAGGAAAGGAGGACGAGAGCAGGAGTATGGTAGTTTAGGTGACCAGAGGCTGAAAGGCCCTCAGAGATGTCCTATGATCTCATCTCAATTCTTTTTTATCTTTTTATTTGGTTTTGTGTTTTGTTTTTCTTTTCTTTTTTTTTTCCTTTTTTTTTTTTTTTGGGGGGGGGTGTCAAGACAGAGTTTCTCTGTGTAGTCTTGGCTGTCCTGAAACTCCAGATCAGGCCTACCTCAAACTCAGAGATCCACCTGCCTCTGCCTCCTGATGTTTGTCTTTTGTTTTGTTTTTTGAGACAGGGTTTCTCTGCCTAACAGTTCTGGCTGTCCTGGAACTCTGTAGAACAGACTGGCCTCGAACTCACAGAGATCCACCTGCCTCTGCCTCTCTAGTGCTGGGATTAAAGGCGTGAGCCACCACCACCTGGCGGTTTTTTGTTGTTTTCTTTTTTTAAGACAAGTTCTCATGCATTCCAGGTTGACCTTGAATTCCCGAGCCTCCGTCTCCCAAGTGCTGAGGTTATAGGCATATGATAATACATCTAGCTTACAAATTCTTTTTGAAGGGACAGCAAAGGTGACTTGTGTTTCATCTCATAGAGAGTTTAGCAGGAGAATTTACTGCTCGGGTCCCAAGGATTATTGGACAGATAAGGCCGCAGTCGGGTCCTGTCTTAGAAAATTTTCACCAGATGCACCTGCTGTCTGTCACTGGGGAGGCATGGCAGAGTTCTGGATGTGCCATTACTGATCCTCTCTTGTTTTACAGGTTGCTTGAGGGGACGTTGGGCCTCTGTCCTGCTAGTCCTGAGTTCCCTGGTGTCCTTCGCTGGTTCTGTCTACCTGGCCTGGATCCTCTTCTTTGTGCTCTATGATTTCTGCATCGTCTGTATCACCACCTATGCCATCAATGTGGGCTTGCTGTTGCTTAACTTCCGGGAGGTGCCAGAACACAAGGCCAAAAGGCACTGAGGTCCCACCTCATGCCAGGCTAACGTAACCTGCTTTGCCTTGGCACATGAGCCTTGCCCAAGAGGGTCATGTGTGGGTCCCTAGAAGGCCCTACTCTTCATTCCAGTCCTCTCCATAACCATGCACAGGACAATGACCATGTGTGCCTCTAAGTTCTGTCTCTTGGCTAAAGAGAATGGTTTTGAACAATAAATTTTCCTAAGTTGGTCAAGTTTGTAGCATATGTGTGCCAGGGACCCTTTGAGGTGTTGGTCTATCCCTATTATTGCCTTCTCTGGAACTGAGATGAGTCAGAGAGAATGGAGGACCAGTCCGGGAGAGGCGGCTGCATCATCTCTAGCATGTGTAGTCAGCAAAATCTGCCACATCAGCCCCCACGTCCAGGAAACAAGCTTACGCCTGCTGCCCACGGATCAGACGTCCTGTTGTAGGAGGGTCTGCCACACACCTGGAGGGCAGGCTTGCTTGGAATGTCTTCTATAGTCCAACTTGAATCCCTGCAACTACCTCACCTAGCATGCCAAGCCAGTCTTAACCCCTGCAAAGGGCCAGGAGAAGATTCTCTGTCCTAATGTATACTAAGGACTTGACATCCCAAGCTCTAAAAGCCTGTGATAGTTAATTGAATTAGATAGTTACTGCCATTATTTGTACACTGGTGAGGAAGCTTAGGTGCAGAGAAACTAACAACTAACGTGCCTGAGAGTACATGTCTAGTACTGGAGAAGAGTTGGGGGAGGAAATCTCAGATGAACACACATCCCCCAACTCACACGGCAGGACTCTGCACATGCTAGACAAACGCTCCAGCACCGACCCATGCTCTAGACAGACGCTTCAGCACTGACCTGTGCTCTAGACAGACGCTCCAGCACTGACCCGTGCTCTAGACAGACGCTCCAGCACCGACCTGTGCTCTAGCCCATCTCATAACCTGAGTCCACCTGAGCTACTTGGCTCACGTCTGCTCTGAACTGCTCACCATTGCCGCTGTATTGGTGTCAGGGCTCCTGAATGGTGGTGCTATGTGGTGGTATTGTGTTCCCCCAAATATTGTGCACCCTAATAAATATTGTGACCCCTGTTATCTGGGGTCAGAGAACAGAACAGCCACTAGATAGACATAGAAGCCAGAAAATGGTGACACACACCTTTAATTCTATAACTTGGGAGGCAGAGATCCATCTGGATCTCTGTGAGTTTAAGACCACATGAAAACAGCCAAGCATGATGACTCATGCCTTTAATCCCAGGAAGTGAGCCTTTAATCCCAGGAAGTGATGTCAGAAAATAGGTATATAAGGCCTGAAGACCAGAAACTAGAAGCATTTGGCTGGTTAAGCATTTGGCTGGTTAAGCTTTCAGGCTTCTAGCAGCACAGCTCAGCTGAGAGCCATTCAGATATGAGGACACAGAGGCTTCCAGTCTGAGGAAAAAAGATCATCTGAGAAGTTGGCCAGGTGAGGTAGCTGTGGCTTGTTCTGTCTCTCTGACCTTCCAGCATTCACCCCAATAACTGGCCTCGGGTTTGATTTTATTAATAAGAACTTTGAAGATTCCTGCTACAGTGCTAGCCTAAGTGAGGAGTTGGAAGGTTCTAACTCCATCCCAGCATTTGCAAGAAAGGAGAGCAGCAAACGCCTGGCTGACAAGGCAGCGGGCCCAGAGAGAGGTTGGCATGAGACCCACCGCTTTAACACAGCCCTGCACACGTTGCCTCTGAAGCAAACCTAGAGAGGTGTATGAAACCTCCTTGGCCTCGGCCTGAGGAAGGCATCAAAGCTGAAAAGTGGAATCTAAGAGGTTTGCCACTACCCCACAGGTGATGTTTTCATACAAGAAGTAACTGCTCTATTAGTAAACAGTGTTGATTTGTTTTGGGACAGGGTCTTGCTCTATAGTCCAGGTTGGCCCAGAACTTGTTAGGTAGCTCAGGCTTAACCTTAAACTCAAAATTCTGCCTCAGCCTTCAGGTACTAGAATTACAGACATACACCACTATACTGGGCTTTTAAGAATTAAAGCTGGGGGCTGGGGATTTAGCTCAGTGGTGGAGCGCTTGCCTAGTATGCGCAAGGCCCTGGGTTCGATCCTCAGCTCCACAAAGAAAAAAAAAAAAAAAAAGAATTAAAGCGGGAAAAAAAAAAAAAAGAGCTGGGCGGTGGTGGCGTACGCCTTTAATCCCAGCACTTGGGAGGCAGAGGCAGGCGGATCTACAGAGCGAGATCCAAGAAAGGCACCAAAGCTACACAGAGAAACCCTGTCTTGGGAAACCCCCCCAAAAAAAATATGCGTATGTTTACCTGCATGTGTGTCTGTGCACCACATATGCGCCTGGAGAGGACAGAAGAGGGTGTTGGATCCCCTGGAACTGGAATTACAGGAGGTTGTCAGCTGGATTTGGAAATTGAACCTGGGTCCTCCAGAAAGAGCAGCAAGTGAAGAAACCAATGAGCATTTTAAAAGGCCCCTAGCATTTTAAAAAATTATTGTGTGTGTGTGTGTGTGTGTGCAAGTGTGTAAGTGCATGCTGAATGCCATGATGTGTGTGTAGAATTCAGCTTGTAAGAATCCTTTGTCCACCATGTAGGTCCCAGGAATCAGACTCAGGTCATTAGGCTTGGTGGCAAGTGTCTTTGAGCCAGCCCCCTCACTCTTTTTTGTTTATGGGCCTGGTGAGATGGCCATGTGAGTTCAAACCCTGGGACTCACATGGCAGAGGAAGAGAATCCTCACAGGCTGCCCTCTTTCTGGAATAAATAATTGAAAAAACAATAAAAAGAATTCCTTCCAGTCTACTTGATGGGACCAATTTATTATTCTGTGTGTATGGGTGTTTTATCTGCATGTATGTCTGTGTGCCACATATGTGCCTGGTGACTTGGTGTCAGATCCCCTGGAACTGGAGTTACAGATGGTCTGGATTGCCCTGTGGGTGCTGGGAATCGAACGGGTTGTGCTGTTAACTGTTGAGACATCTCTCCAGCCCCTGCCCCCCGAAACACTTGAGTTTTTTCAGGCAAGGCACAATTTCATTGTTCAAAGTCACTGCTGTAGTAAATGGGGGAACTGGGATTTGAACTGGGGGAGTGTGGCTGGTGACAGAAGCCCAGAGAGGGATAAGGGCCACACAACCACAGTCCCCAAGCTGTTGACTCCCTTCTAGCCCAGGAAAAGTAACACCTGACGCTTAGCTGGCTGGGGGCGGAGCAGGGGTGGAGCCAGGGAGACCCAGGTGGCCTCTCAGAACAAGAGCACTGAGTGGCCCGGAGCAGCATGAGGCAGAGCTGGGGACCAGGGCTGCTTATTGTGGGAGCTGTGGTCCTGATAGGGGGTAAGTCACTCAAGCAGACGGCAATTTGGTATGCAAGGGATCCTGAGGGGCTAGTCTCCCTGTGGATGTCCTTGGCTAGGTGTGTGGGAGGGTTGTGGGGGGAAGGGGAGGTAACGAACGCACTGCCTTCTGTCACATGGGTATGAACTGTACGGTAGTTCTTTGAGGTGGATACTGCCACTGCTCCTGTCTTGGCGAGGAGACTGAAGTACAGAAAAGCTAAGTAATGTGCTTGAGACCACAGTCTAGTGTCCGGCTTAGGGAGGCCAGGCTCTGTATCGCTGAATCTGTATGGAGTAACCTCACTGTGTGTGTACTTTGCCTCAGGCACGCTCTGGCTGCACAGGCTTGGAGCTGTCCACACTAACTCTGCTTCCGATGTGCAGCAGACCCATCTGTGTGAGCGTGCGACGGGTTCCGGGCAGGGCAGGGACCCTCCGGAAAGGTCAGCTTCCAGAAAGTTGGATTCATTAGCACAGTGGTGGAGTGAGTCTCACTTGGGGCCTCCCCCACTTTGGACATGACACAGGCCTCTAATCTACCCTTAGGCTTCCACAGGTGAAGAGACAATTAAGCTAATGCTCTTCACATACACAGGCCACCTCCCTGACTCAGTGGTGGGGGCAGGAGTCAGGGGTTCAGAAGCCTGGAGGAGGGTTGGCCTACTCCCAAGTTAAATCTCCGGTCTTGCTTCTTGGGCTCAGGAGTGCTGAGCACAGCTGAGAATTAATGGCTGTGTACTCTGAATGGGCTCCAATAAAAGCTGCTTTTCAGCCTCCCATAAATATTTTCATTCTGGGAGAGGCTGGTTGGCTAGCCAGTCATAGATAAGGACCCAAGGCCCGTCCTTCACCTCATCCCCTCCCTCCACCAAACCTGGGCCTGGCCGTTAAGGCACCTCCACATCTTGTGTCTTTTTCTTCCTAGGTCTTCAGGCAGCTCAGCGTGGTAAGTGGTGGTGAGGACATGGGACCAGGGCTGTGCTCAGGGATGATGGAGGAACGGCACCCTGTGGTCCCGAGGTCAGGACAGTGTCAGCATGACTCATCCTTCTCCACAGCATGCGGGCAGCGCGGCCCTGGCCCTCCAGAGCCTCAGGAAGGCAGCACATTAGCTGGTGAATGGCCCTGGCAGGCCAGCGTGAGGCGGCGAGGGGCACACATCTGCAGCGGCTCCTTGGTGGCAGACACCTGGGTCCTCACAGCTGCTCACTGCTTTGAAAAGTGAGTCTCGGTTTGAGGGTAGATTTGTCCCTGGACCTTGCAAGACTGTTTTTTGCCTCTAGAATAATAAATACCATTTATGGAGAATGCTATGTAGCAACACATTAGCAGCTTAACCTTAGCAATCCTTCAAGGTGGATGCTTTACAAAGGAGTAAATGAGAACCGAGAGGAAGGAACTGGGCTGAAACCATGTGCTGTATCTGCTCCTCTTCCTCTGCTCTTCTCAGGTTGTCGCTTCCACTGGCGCTCAGCTGGGCCTTTTTCCCCTTTCAGGGTGGCCACAACAGAACTGAGCTCCTGGTCCGTGGTCCTGGGTTCTCTGACGCAGGAGGGGCTGAGCCCAGGGGCTGAAGAGGTGGGAGTCGCTGGCCTGCAATTGCCCAAGGCCTATAACCACTACAGCCAGGGATCCGACCTGGCCTTGCTCCAGCTCAGCCATCCCACAGCCCATACAACCCTCTGCCTGCCCCAGTCCACCTATCATTTCCCCTTTGGAGCCTCTTGCTGGGCCACAGGCTGGGACCAGAACACCAGTGACGGTAAGTCCTGTCCTAGACAGAAGCCTAGAGGCACTCCGCTTGCCCAGGCCCAACTGTGCCGGG